AAGAGGAAGAGTGGGTAAATACACTTTTATTGCTAACACATACTGTTCACCACAACAGGATCACTTTAACTTTAGGAGTTCATATCTAGTTTGTAAACTAAATCAGTTCACATAAAAACTAACAAGCTGGCTCTCTTTAGTTCGGACAATGGAGATGCATTTCCACGAAAGCTGGCAAGTGGAGAAGTAATGGACGTGTAGAGCAGCTGCTAAGGCAAACGGGAGAAATGTATAGCAGCAGCTTTGTGAGAAGGCTTCTAACCTTAGCGTTTGTGGTGGTTTCACCCGACATAATAGAATCTTTCAAGGAGGCACAGTGGGGAGCACTGTGAAGAAAATAGTAGGTCAATATCTATAAGCGCCCAGCATGTTGCAGGACAAAAGCTGTAGGTGTACGAGCACAAAATGAAGAGGCATAAATGAGGGCAAGTTTTCTCTTCTTTGTTTTGTGAGAAATTACTCCGGAAAAAAAAAAGAAGAAAAATGGTAATCCCTTTTGGACTGTAGCAGAGCAAGACATGGAAACTATCCTAACTGTGGGTAATTATGAAGCTGCTGGTTGTATGGTGAGGGTGTGAGGGCCTGTTGTACAGTGATAACCAGAACGATGTTGAGCTGGGCTGCTGGCTCTGCCACACAGAGAGGGTTGCATATTTACTATGGAAATCAGTCCTGGAAAATACAATTATGCAATACTTGAGGCAGGCAGTTAAAGTAGCAGGAGAGGAGAGGAGGGACATGAGGAATCAGAGAGGGGACTTTAGAAGTGAAGACTGCCCGCCTCTGTGGCCTTGGATCATTGGCTCTGGAGGCTACCAGTGGACGGAGTGGGAGAGGTGTCTCTTTGATTGTTAACGTCTTAATATCACTAAATACTCCACACAAAGAAAGGATGCCTTCACGTGAACGTCTTACACCCCTGCAGACATTACTCCCCGGGCTATTCAGTCTTGTGTTTGGCTGCATGACAACACCTGCTGCCACTCTATGCGGCAGTGTCCCATTCAGACGGCCCATGTGAAGATTTGCTGCCTGAAGACGGGGCTTAGCGGAGCTGTCACTACGACTACCTCCTCCGACATGCAAGACCGCTGCCTTTACACTGAGCATTAGCAGCCTTTTGAAGGGGCGACAGCGGGGAGATGGTGAACAGACAATAAGGCACGCGTGAGCAGCCAAAACTCGAGATGGCATGCCTGGAGGAGTGACAGGTCGAGGGGAAACGACAATTACGTGGATGAAAGAAACGCTTGGAGGGGAGGGGGGGGGCTTTCCACTGACTTGAGCGTCAGTAACTTTGGAAATTTCGTAACGAGGCAAAGGCAGCTGAAGAATCCTACAGACTGGGGTTACTCAAATAAGCTAAAATAAAGATGGAATCTGTCTTTATGGGCCAAACTGACAGCCGCGTGCGTAAACAGCTAAAGTTCACGCACCTCGTGGCAGCTCTATGTTCACGCTAGTGCACGCTGCTTGGTCTTTTATGGATTATGTTTGACGGGTTCATCAGCCACACCACAATTTAATAGAAATTAGTAATGATTTTAAAAATGCATTTAAGTTCCATTGAGACTGTAAGCACTAAACTTTTGACAAAATAAATGAACAAATTCTTCTAAATTTGATCATGTTTTACTTTAGGCACTGTAACACACAATAAGTCTGCAAAAACCCTCAAAGACTGCGCCAATTAATCAAGATTACACGGGAGTGCCACCATCCCTGATTATGATCAAATTTTTGCAGAGGACTAGAAATCTCCCTCTCATTCACTTCCTCTCACTCTCACAGTAAAAGTCTAAATCGCTGCAAATCTGAGCTTTGCTGATGCTACCCTGACCCAGTTCCTCAGGTTCTTTCTTGCTCAAATCCTTTTGAAATGAGAATGCCCCCCCACGAGCGAAGTTTATGGCCACAACCTTCCCTCATGGTTTAATCATTGCGGTAGTACAACTATATATATACGATATACTGTATATGCAACAAAAAAAAAAGCATGGAGTAGAAGAAAAAATTCAATCCTGGACACTTAGCCAAAGTACACCAGCAACCCATTTAGAAAAGGCCTGGAGTCGTTCTAATAGACTGGTTCTGCTGACAGGTAACATCTGAGTCCCTGGAGAATGATGCACTTTGAGCACTAAATGCCTTTAAAACTTTCATATAAAGCATATCCACTAGCATCAGAATGGAGCACTAAGCTCTGAATAGTCACAAGTGTTTCACCATGTCTCCTACGGGAACCGAAAATTGAACCGAAACATTTGCACAAAAGGATAAACGGCCTTAAATCCACCGAAATGAATGGTAATATTTCCCTGGAATAATTGCTCTGATATACCCTCAAACTGTGTAATTAAACTTGGCAGCCATTTTAGACCTGTGTTGAATATTAGTCTAATTAAGCTTTGAAGGAAATATAGACAAAACTCTTCATTGACACAGATGGAACATGATAGTATGGTCCTTAAAGAAATAAAAACATGCTCTTCTATCACAGAAAAATGTCTTGTAAGTGGCATTGCTGTTCTCAGAAGGGCGGACAGCCATTGAAAGTGTGCTGGTAGCCTTTGCAGCAGGAGGTATACACACATTCTGTTGATTAGCAGATATACAGTATATGTGTGTCTGTATGAGTGAATGAGCATGTGCGTATGCACAGTTCCTCCAGAACGGCTTTAGCAGAGTGCTCCCTTTTCCCCCCTCTGGCTGAACTGATGCAGTTCTCTGGCTAAGATCGCCCTGTGTGAAAGATGGATTGAACACGAACCATGCGCTAGGCAGTCCTGTGCACGAGCACATAAACACCAGAGAAGCTGCTGCCTAACGGCGCGATTCAAACACATTTACACCCACTGAGGTTGAGGGGGGGGCGATGTGGATTCACGGCTGCGAAGCTCGCCGGATGAATGTAGAACAACAAAGAAGACAAATGTTGAACTCTCCCCTCAGACACAGCTGAGAAAAACCTCACCAGCTTGTGAGCTGAAAGCATTGAAAACGCACAGACTGTGCACACACACACACACACACAAACACACATTCCACACCTCAGCGTGTCTATTTCAATAATACAGAGGGGTGCTCCATCTTCCACTAAGCCTAAACCCCAAATCAATACAGATACCACACTTAAAGTAGTGGTTATGCTACAAACAATGGCAGGGATGAACTGTAAAAATCAAAACAGGACTGTCATCCATTAAACACTTTGGTGTGTAACTTATGCGTGGGCTATAATACACAAAAGTGAATAAGCGTGACCATATGTTAAATGATTAATTAAAATTTGCCCCCGTATACACACATCCTAAAATGAACCACAATCTGATCCTTGTGTGATGGTAATAGCTGTCATTAATCGGGGAAAATACATTTTAATATAGTAAAATCTGTGTCAACCCACCTCTGTGATGTCGTTTTTGTTAATCAGGCTTAATACAATTAACAACAACGCACACCACAACTTTCACTTGAACTCAGAGGGAGGAGTACAGGAAAAGAGCTTCAGCTGGCCTTGTGTGTTTATGTCTTCCTACTGGGCATGTAACTATAAGAGGGTGGTTTTAAAATTCTAACAGAATTGTTTAACATTTTGTATCTCAGAGTTAGGCAGTTATGCCACTGACAGCAAATACACTTAAAGAGAGTACAGGGAGAAAGAATGCTGAAGGTATCGACAAATGTTGGGGCTGAAAAATTTCACGCTACGTGCTGAGCTTTCCTCAGGGCAGCCTGGAGTTCATTCCTGAGAACAGAGACTGGCAGAGCTCACGCATCACACGCTATACGGCAGAAGGCCGGATTCACATCAACATTTAAACAGCCTCTAAATTACTCAGCAAATCTACACTGGAGGTGCTCATGTGTATGAATGAGAGTCTGTCAGCTTTTGATAGTTGTGTGTATCAGGGAAATGGAGGTGGTGAGACAGACTAGGAGGCGGTGGGTGGAGGCAGCATTAATTACTTATAAAACCTCTGGAAGGTGTTTGTATATATGCAAATAGTGTGCGTTTGAAGAGCAGCGCACGTATGTTCCAATGCTTTCACATGCGTCTAGAAGACAAATCCTTTTTTCTTTTTTTTTCAAATTTAAGAAGCAGCCCCAGGGGTCAATATCAGTGTATGAATGGGTATACTAAAGTTACTTCAGATTACTGCCTTCTGCCAGCAATGCTGGGCTAATCGAAGGCAATTTGCATTTCGCTGATAAGCAATTTTAAAAGTGTCTCCTTGATGCTCAAAATTAGGCCATAGCTGTTGTTTTCTCATTTTTTGGGCTGAGCATAAATACACAAAAAAGTTCAGCAAAGGGGAATAATGAAGGGGGTGTGGGATATTGGATGCGTTGAGATCAGAAAGCATAGGCATGGGATGGATAATTAACAGAAACAGAACCTCAAAGATATATAGAGGAGGAGATCTGTGGACAATTTAACGCGAATGGCTGAGACTCCAGAAAGGGGGCGAGCAGCAAACTGAGGACCCTTGTATAGTTTTCATTACAAACCAGGGTAGCGCAGCACAGGTGGAGGACAAGAGATAAGAATAAAGACTGATACAAATGTAGAGAAAAAAAATCAAGAAAGGTGAGATATGAACTTTAAGAAGAGAAAATATGCCAGGAATTGCATGTGCTGAATTAATCATAGTGCTTACTCTCATACAGTGCCAGGATTCGAAAGCAAGCCCTGATATGAGCTTAGAGAGAACCAGCATTTCACATGTAAATCTCTACATGAATTTCTAATAAGAATATAACGGCAAAGACAGACAGGTGAAGAAGCAGGGTATTCATGATTGGAAGAGGCGCAAAATGAAATACCTGAGAAGCCAAATGCTGCCTCTGAATGAAAGCCTTTGTAGCTATTAGCAAATATAACTCCAGAGAAACCATTAGGTTAGATCATTGTTTAAAACCTACTTCAGCTTCTGTCTTCAGCTAATGAGTCACTGGAAATCACACAATGGTTAAAAGCCAACCTGTCATGTGTTTTTTTAGCAAATTAAAAAGTGAAACACAAAAGCAGACACATTGTATTTCATTTATATTTGTTAATTCAAACACAAATTAACTGAAATACATATCAAAGCTTAAATGACATGCTCCCTCAGGTCAGACTGAGCCTTTTCTTGGGCTTGCTTTTCCTCATTTGTGACTGAATTTACTGCCACTCTAACTTGAGAGAACGATTCTTCTTCTCCAGTCAGTGTTTTGTTTTTTTGTTTTTATTTTGCTGCTGAAAAGCTTAATGGCTGCATCTTAATCAATTTTATTTTCCTTTTTGAAATCCAAGAAAAGTGAGGCGACTTGTTGTGGGTCATGACATATTTGATATGAGGCAATGGCACCTGCGCAGGTACAGGTGTGTGGGTGGTGTCAGCTTACCAGCTCAATGAGCTCCTGGTAGCACACCTGTCCCTCTTCATTGCTCTGGACAAGCGCTAACAACATGTCCAGTTTGGATGGGTCCAGCTGCAGCTCATGGTGCTCCACCAGGCTGGTGAAGTTCTCCACTGGGATAAAACCGGTGTTCTCTGGATCCAGCTGGGAAAGACAAACAAGCAAGAAGTTAGTTGTCAGCAGATGGGAAAAAACACTGCATCTCACAGTTATACATCTTGATCATTTGTGAGCAGCGCTGCAGACACCAAGCGTCCGTTTCCTCTGAGGGAGAACACTCCCGGGGAAGGCAGTGGTGACACAGAATACATTATCATTAGGCAAAGAAGTCTGTTTTGAGCTAAATCAAGCTGACTTTTTGGGTTTGTTTGGATGCATTAATTGCGTGCATAGAAAAAAAAATTGTGCTACTCCTTACTGATTTGAGCAGGAGAGAGTCATAAAACAGACTGAGAGCAGTTGTGTAAATTAGCACCAGGCAAAAAATGTCAAATATCAGCTTCTTTTCTAGTTTTAGTTTTTAGTTTTTTGTATTAATTTCTCAAATGCATTCCTAACTTCTCCTTTAAAAATTTTAATTAATCAACTATGTAATGGAACTCTTTTTAGTGTTTCTAACTGTGTTAGATCAAATGTGCCAGAGGACAAAGTGACTGTGGAGAGAATCCCTGCTGTTCTCATTTTAGCATTTCCTGAAAGCTAACGCAGCCTCGTTAGATTTTGGATTTAAAAAAAAATCAACAATGTATTGTTGCTTCAGGGAACAGGGAGCTTTCAGATGTTGCATCAGTGTGTAGTCAGTCATTGTTGCCTATGTCCACATAAAAAAAACCCGACAACTTTGCAGCCCTGAGAAGGAACAAAAAAGATCGATCAGGCAACTGGTGCAAGTTTGACTGTGTACCTCAGTCAAAACATGTGTACCCTTTTGGCTTTTTCCCATCCCCAATCCATGACTATCATCCATTTGTGATCTCAAAGCTCAGAAGATTAACTAGCCCACAATCCGAAATTGGCCTGTAAAACAGATAAATCTAGGTTTATAGACAAGAATGTCTTCAAGTAGAAACAGAAAAAGAAAAAAATATGCCTATATTTAGACAACTCCCTTTGCTGTTGTGTTGTTTGGCCCTATGTCAAATTTTGGCCCTCTTTACAGCCAAACGGATCTGCAACATGACACTGATGTCTCCCATGTTTGCAGTGCGTAGCCTACCAAGGTGACATATGCGGAACACACGGAAAATAAAGGCACATATCCACAGATGAAAGCAGAGATGGAAGAGGTGGAAAATAGCTGTGGGATGTGGGAGGCTGGTGGGTTGATAAAATTAAAGAAATGAAAAATGATGACGGACATAACAGTGGTGTGGTGGTTTACATGCAATTGGACACTCTAAATTGCCCCTAGGAGTGAATGTGTGTGTGTGTGGTTGTGTGTGTCTGTGTGGCCCTGCGATAGACGGGCGACCTGTCCGGGATGTATCCCACCTCTTGCCCGTTGTCAGCAGGGTAAGGCTTTTCTGCTACAGAATATGAATGGATGGAAAAATGATGACAATGGAATGAAAAGTGGAGTTGGTTTGCAAAAAAAGGGGAGAAGAGGCACGGTGAGGGAACAGACTTAGACCAAAAAGAATGGCTCGCCACCGACTGTCATACGGCGCGAGTGTCTGCCTCACCCAGTGATCTGGCAGTGAATCCTCTTTTTCTCTTTTTCTTATGGGCGGTCTGTGACACACTTCACTGCTCTGCCTCCACTTGCCACGGAGGGGAGATAGATCAGAATCTAATGTGCTCCTAGCTCAGACTGGGCTGACGGGGGGAACAGAAAAGCCACGCTGGGGACGTCTGATTACTGTCAGCCTCCACATGTCAGCACATCACTACAGCGCACATATACAGCGGCAGCCAACACAGAGGCGCGCCGTATATGCCTGTGCACCGTTACATAAAGCAAGTGTTGATGCTGAGCTGTCACACTGCACAGATACTACCGCCTCTCATGGTGTGACCTTATTCAGGAAGAACTTTCCACAGGGGAGCCGCTCTGCTGGGGATACAAGGAGGTGAATGACTGGCTCCTGGCTCCAGTCAGGGTTATCAGTTACCAAGATGAGGAACACTGAGATGAACGAGCACTTGCGAGAGCATGTTTTTTTTTTTTGTGAATATGCCTGATATGCATGAATTTGGGAGGGTGGGGGGGGGGCAGGGAAGCTGAGTAAAGACAGGGTTGAAATAGGGGAGCACTGAGAGAGAAGCAGTTATTGAAGCGATCCAACACTGGCGAGGGCGACACTTTGACAAGCCGCATGCGTTGCCATGTATACCAGTCGCCTGTATGTCATTCCCTTTTTGCTTTCTCCCCTTTTTCTACAATGTATTGCAAATGTATAAGCAAAAGAAAAACGCAAGATTTGTGCAAAGAAAAAGATGATTCTGGTGCCTAAGAGGAAGAAAAGAAAAACAACACAGAAACATTTAACCAGATCACTAGGATCATAACAAAGCTTTAAAGTCAAGGTTTAGATATAAGGGGAGTCAGAGTGGGAGATATGGGTGGAAGGAGAAGCTGTGAAGGTAAACATAAATACCAGTAGAATGGAAGCAAAGAGGTGTGGAATAATGTCTGCTGGGGGGTGATCTCACTGTTAACCCGCTGGACCTCCATTACCTCCAGCACAGCCACGCTGACTGACCTCAGTCAACCGGTAACTTATTAGAATTTTTCACCGGGGCTAAAGAATGAACTCTACAGGACAGGGACAGAATCCTGCAGCTACAGACATACTGCAGGTGGGCCACACAATGGAGTCTATCAACCTTAATTCAGCAGACATGACACAGAAAATGACAAATCCCTCTGTATGTAGCCCTCTGCTCTGTGGGCACAAAATACAGGCAGAAAGCAAAGGAGACAGGTAAAAATGCCATGTTACGGTCCCAGCTTGTATGCATAATAAGGGATCAAAACATCTGTTGATCAAGCAAACATTCAGATAAAAGGAAAAAAAACTGAAAATGTTATTTCTGTTGCTGTATTACTCTTAACTGGACAGAACAATCAACACTAAGATGTCAGCTTTAACCTACGGAACATGTGATCTACATTTATGATCATTAAGACCTATGTCTTTCGACAGGAATTTGCTAAAAGGGCTTCAGCTGACTTGGGGTTGCCCATATTTGAACAGAACTCTGTATTGAAAACCAAGTAAGAAGCACTGACGAGGCCATAGTTTACAACAAATTGTATCTTGGCTTCACCACAGATCAACATGATGCCTCAAGTCAGTTACAGCTTCTTCATCAAATCGCTTTAGTTTTTCACTCAGAATTCACTTTAGAGTTGATGCTGATTATAGAATAAAACATGTTCCTTAGGTTTTCTATTTCAGGGACAGAGCATGAACACCGTGGCATAGAGCCAATACTACCAAATACAGTACTTTGTTCTCTGGGAACAAGAACACTAAGCCTTGGCGGAGCAGTGTGTCAGCAGTGGGCAGTGGCATTTACAGAGCATATTCAGAGCATATTTGCATGGAATCAGACAACTCTGTGCGTTGTGTCTGCTGCCCTCAGGACACACTGGTATTAACTAACAAAACAGGCCACTGACTCCGTAATTATCGCAATGCGTGTTCTTGTGTGTTATTACTATCAGCCTGTTCAGACTACCTTCTGTGGCACTGCCACGTCACGGACCTGAGATTCAAAACACTCTCCTCTTGTGGACACAACAGATTAGACGCCTCCAAGAATGTCTCTTCCAAGTCACAATCTAACACTAACACTTCCTGATGTTTTAGGTATGTACAAGCGCAAAAGAGACAATGAAAACAATGGAAAAACGGGGAGTGTATTCGAACCATATTCTCTTAACATGACACAGATATGTCAGAGCAACCCTCAGAACCCCAAGGCAAGATATAAATAAGCACAGTAAGAACTGGAAGAGACATGAACCAACTAATGATAGCATACTGCCGTGGTTTCCTGCTGCCAACCATCAAGTTGCCTTATCAGTGGTACTGCTATGGAAAGAGACTATGTGTGAGCCTGCATGGGCCAAAAATACCCTGAGCTCAGCAGACAAAGACTAATAAACTCACTCATGTTGCCACTGTTGCATTTCCTTTCTCTTCCATTGCAGCATTTTATGTGGTTCACTGTGACAGGCACACAGCATCCTCTCCTTTACACCTGCAGTGCTTAATACCCCAGACCCGTCCAGTCCTGCCACGCACTGATTCAACAAACCTCAACTAAAACATTGGATTTCATTTGTTTCATCCTCTAATGAACGTTTGACTGTTTGAGTGTTCAAGCCAGAGACACTTAAATCTTGTCAGCTTCTTCACTGGACTATCCAGTTTAGTTAGTAATGCCATGAAAAAGCAAACAAATAGAAATAATCATGACTAAAATAGAAGACAGACACAAATAAGGAAGACAAAAATAAATGGACTGAAACTTGGATTACAAAATACAACACAGGGACAGCAGTTCCTCTTTTACGTTTAAAATGTCCTAAGAGAAAGTACTCGGCCTCCAGGAGTGCATATTTGTTTGAATGGAGACATAGAGGTTGTTGTGGAGAGCCTTCAGTGAATGTGACAGAACAGGGCAGGTATGCAACAACACGAGGAATGTTCTGCAAGGCATTTTCCTGGATAAAGATGAGGAAAATGTGCCCAGTATTTAGGCAGGCACCAGGTTTAGTTCAAAACAAGCGTTCCTGTTCACAGTCCAAAGGCTGTTGGCACATCTCATTTAGTTCTGATTTAATTAGAGAGAACTTTTCCAAATCAAAGGCCACCGCATGGAGCCCCAAAGGTGGAAAAAGCCCTTTCGTCAGCCAGAGGAAACGATTTGGTCCAGACTTGCACTTAATAGGACTGCAGCCTGCTAAACCCAGGCTTTTCAAACTGTCTATATGAACATACGGGCATAAGCAAAATAAAGCCTGCAATCGATAAAACAGTTAGCCGTTTACACGTGTGGACATATTGACTCCATCTTCAGCCCAAGAACTTGCCCAACATGAAAATTGATATTGACACAGATGAGTCAGCCTCTCTGATGCTAAATACACATGTATTGGGGAGGAAATATGTGCAGTTCAGAACCAGCAATTAGTTGCAACCAGAGTGCTGGTACAGTGCAATCCCAGAGCATCTTTTCACTCAGCCCAC